GAGCTGTACTGGATTAGTTACTCTTCTCTCATTGCTGGGACAAATACCCCACTCTCAAGCTTAGGGAAAGAAAGGTTTATTTAGCTCACAGTTACTGGAGATTTCACAGTTTAAAGCAGCCTGACTTACATAGCAAGATGTTGAGACACTGCGGTCCTGCGATACAGGTTCTGGAAGAGAGGCTGGGGTGCTGCCCTGTCCAGTCTCTGAGAAAGTGCAGGCTAGCCCGCTGAACAGGTCTCGCCTCCCTGGCCCCGCCCCTCGAGCCCCGCCCTGGGCATCTGGCCCCGCCCCTCGAGCCCCGCCCTGGCCCTCTGGCCCCGCCCCTCGAGCACCACCCTGGCCCTCTGGCTCCGCCCCTCAAGCCATTTGTTGCTCTTCCTGCCGCATCTGCCCCATAGCTTATGTGAGGCTTTGGGGGGACAACTAGACACAAATAATAACATGTACCTTAGTAAAGCTACCTACATTTTAATTTTTAAACATCTTTTATTTATTTATTTATTTATTTATTTATTTGGCACAAGGTCTCACTACATAGCACCGACTCAGTGATCCTCCTGTCTCAGCCTCCCCAGTGCTGGTATTATGGGCATGCGCCACCACTCCCGGTCTTGGTGACTGGAACAGCACAGTCAGGATTCCAGGGCTGGCGTGGCATGCGGTACCGGGGATTGAACTCGGGTCCTTACACTTGCCAGGCAGGCTATTAGACCTGACCACCCTGTCTCCCCAGGCCACCACTCACATTTTAAATGCAGTTGCTATTCTTTTTTTTGTTTTGTTTTGTTGTGGAACTGGGGATTGAACTTAGGCCCTTGTTCTGGCCAAGCAAGCGCTTATTCTACTGAGCTACCTCCCCAGCCCGCTATTCTTTTTAATGCCAAGATGACTTTGCAGTGCCGACCCCATCCTAGAGCACTTCAGCCTTCGTCTCCAGCTCTCCTTGCACCTTGGCAGCAGACCAGGTAGGCGGAGCAGCGGGGCCTTCACCGCTGACAGAGGAACTGGCCACACGAGGACATCCACCACTTCTGGCTCCGTGTTCCTGCCCAGGACTGCTGCCAGCACGGCGGGATCCTGCTGCGCTCTTTGAGGGCCCGCCGTCTGGGCCGCTGACCCACAGTGGCAGGTGAGCACAGACCACAGAAGCTCAGGATCACACACTCACACTCACACCGTCACACCACAGAAACAGACAAGCCACAGAGCCAAGCGGAAGACCTGCAGTGTACCTTCCCCAGCTAGCTGTTAGATTATATATTATGTCAGGATTTTTTTTTTTTTTTTTTTGGAACCAGGGATTGAACTCAGGACCTTGCGCTTGTCAGGCAGGTGCTTATGCTGCTGAGCTATCGCCCTGGCTTGTCAGGATTATTTGTGCTCCTTCTCCCTATACAAAAATAAATAAAATAAGTATCAGAGCCTGGAGCTGTGCTGTACGCCTGTGTTCCAGTGTGGAGCAGGAAGGTCAGTGAGGATTTGAGGCCAGCCTAGACTACAGAGCAAGCCCATATAAAAAAA